CCACCCACCTTGAGAGATGATCTGAGGACTGACCCCTTTGGGAGCAACTTTGGCTCTTCCCAGGGGATAGTGCTCTTGTAGATACCCCTATTCCCTTTTTATTGAATTCACATAAAATAAAATTAACCTTTAAAGTGAACAATTCATTGGCATATATTAAATTCATAATGTTGTGCAACCATCACCATTATCTAATTCTAGAACATTTTCATCACCCCACAGTAAAATCCAGTACTCATTATATGTCCTTTCCGTTTTCCTACACCCCAGCCCCTGGCAAGCATCAATCTGCTATTTGTCTTTGTGGGTTTTCCCTCTTCGTAATTGGACCTATTGGAGAGGGATCTGCTGTGGCCACAAAGAAATTATTTGGCTTTAGAGGCCTAGAACTCAGGTTAGACCTCTTACAAATATAAATTTCTTTCTTTAATAGTATTTTCAAAGACTAAATGTTAAGTGGTATTTATATGTGTATTTTATTTTAAATTTCATAATTCTCTTAATTCTTCAGTTTTCTGCCCTAAAACTTTATAAAGTATGATAATTTTACATTGATGGTTATAAATCAGATATGTATATGTAATTTGCATGTATAGCATTTATGCCTCTCACAGGGTTTTGACCACTGACCTCTGGACTGGGTAGTCCTTTGGTGTGGGGGCTGTCCTATGCACTGTAGAATGTTGTGGCAGCATCTTGATCTAGGTGCTCATAGCAGCCCCAACCCTTCTAAATTGTGACAACTAAAAATGTCTCCAGACATTGCAAAATGTCTGTCAGGGTCAAAATCACCCCTGGTTGACCACCACTGCATTAGAATCATTCCTCTTGAGAATTTCAGTAAAAAGAGACTATTAGTATATTATTTGCTAGAAATAGTCATCATAGAATGATAGAGGAGAATTGCTAAATCACCGATGAATCTAGGCCCATTATTGATTTTTATAATTGTCCCCCAAACTACTTCCCATTCATAAAATATATTTTAGTTTTTAATTTTGATTTTTTGGCAGTACTCTCCTTGCGGGTTATGTAAGGGTCATTTCTTATTTGGCTGTGCTACACTAAAGGATTTCAACTTGATTGCCTAATAGGAAGTAATTTCATGGAAAAAGTAAATACAGCCGTGGGTTTGTTGAGAAATACTGGAAACATTCAAACTCTTTTAAATACAATGAATAAAGCATTCAATAATTGAAGAAAAGGAGAATTTTTTTTACACAAATTTCCCTACCTGATGTCCAAAGAACTTAAGACCATAATCTTTTAGTGCTACTACTGAGCTTACTGATAGTAAATTAAATTTTCCCTTCCTGTGCTCCTGGATGTGCACTGAAAGTTCTGTTTTCTCAGTTTGTAAAGGTTCTTTCCTACTTAAATCTTGTTATTTCTCAGTACTCACATGTTAAATGAATTAAGTTTTAAAAGGAATATTGGATGTGATTTAAAATTTGTTTCAAAATAAATCTGTAGCCTACTTACATATAACCCTAATTATAGATTCTTGATAGAGTCAAAAGTGATAGTTTTTAAGGATTGTTCTGTGAGCCAGTTTTCTAACTAGTTTGTGATCTACTTGTAACTAAGTACAACTGGGGATAAAACTTTGGGGAAAATAAGATAGGTAAGATGGTGGAAGAGAGCCACAAGAGGGGAAATTTGATGTATTATTATTGGGTATTATCAGTTAAGTAGTAGGGTTGAGGGATGGTGTCTCAACTGTTTTTTTTTTTTTACTGGGAATAGTTATTTAATAAGGCCTTGGGAAGAAAGAAAATCCCATAAAGTAGAGCTTTGGCTGTCTTTTCTACATAGAAGGAAATGAAGTCCATCCTTACATAATTATTTATACCTAAACTTTTTCTTAGTATACATATGGAGAGAGATGTTATTAACATAATACGCTTTTTATAAGAATACTGTGCTTTAGCTGTTTTTCTTTTCTGTATGTGCTTTGAATGTATCTAATACATTTTTACCATTTTACTTATTTAGGGACTATGTCAGGAGTGAACTGGAGTCTGCCTATGAAGGACCAATGTATTTAGAACCTCTGTCCATGAATCGGTTTACCACAGCCTTAATAGGTAAGTATTATAAAAGAATTAAAAGTGTAGGTGAGGATCAACCAGTTTTACTGTCTTCTTTACATGCTTAAAATCATACGTAGCCTATAGTTGCTTGTGTTTTTTAATGATATTTTAACTATTTGGAAGGTTAATAAAGCTAGTTATTACTTTGTAAGATTATTTTTAAGTCATTTATTGTTATTGAAAGCCATCACTATAGTCAAAAATAAATTGCCAGAAACATCACTTGAGACATGATTGAAATATTTAGGTAGCAGAATGTTAAAAATAGGAGTGTTGACTAAGACCCCAAAACAATGTACATATAGTTCCAAGTGACATACCAGACCCTACCTACCATGACAGAATTGCAAAAAAGGAGGTGAGAGAAAACCTATTTTGTGATTCTTAAACTCACCCATATAGAGGGTGATAAAAGGTTGAATGTTGGAGAAGGAGGATTTCTGGAGAGCGCTCTTTTCTCTGAAATACCTCCCCAACCGTTCACATGTGGAGAATTCAACAGTAGACCATTTGGAGAGTCACATGTCTTCTGTGGCTTAGGAGGGATACTGTGAACTGGTGTCTGTCCCACGCCTGCAAAATCTCAAGCTGCACCATCTAAAATTAGCCACATGTATCTATTGAGCACTTGAAATGTGGCTAATCCAAATTAAAATATGCAGTAAGTCTAAACACCCAATTTCTAAGACTTAGTATAAAATAGGATGCAAAGTTTCTTGTTAATTTTTTAATGTAGATTGAATGTTTATATGATCATATTTGGGGTATATTAGGTTGAATAAAATATATTGTTAATTAATTCCACCTGGGTTTTTTTTGTTGTTTTACTTTTTAAAATGAGGCTACCAGAAGGTTAAAAATTACAAATGTGGCTCATATTATAATTCTAATATGATATCAAGGCCAACAGTGGGCTGGCTGGCTGTTGAGTTTTCTGACTATGGACATAGTGAAAATGTCTTGTGGAGTTCTCTTGTATCTTCTAATCTGTGTAGGCAAAGGGTATTAGTTTCCTATGAACTAGATAAGGGCCCCAAGAGTCTATGGGATTTTTTTAGGTCCTTCTAAGAGCCTTTACAAGGATAAGAAGACTCCAATGGGGATTGAATTTCCAGGAATTAAGCAAAGAACCAAAAACAGCCAGAGGAGAGTATATAACAAGCACTAAGGGTGGGAGAGCCATAGTGATGGAACAGTTTCAGAAGAACCCATAAAAATGCACAAGAGAAAGGCAATGGGTTTAAAAAAAAAACACAACATTTTTTTTTAAGGGGGAGTGGTACGTACAGGGATGGGGGGCAGAGGGAGAGAGAATCTTAATCTTAAGCAGGCTCCATTACTAGCGCAGAGCCCAGTGCAGGGCTCTCAATCTCATGACCCTGAGATCATGACCTGAGTGGAAATCAGGAGTCAGATGCTTAACCGACTGAGCCACCCAGGCACCCCAGGGGGATTTTTTTATGTCCCAGCTTCAGGTGCACCCACACCCTATCATTGTAAGAGCATAGTCGAGTAAGAATTTTCTACTTCCCTCTCTCGCCTTCTTCCCTACATGCTTCAACCCTGGGTAAGTCAGGAAGAGCGGGCAATGGTGCTGTCAGAGAAAGAAGATGAAGCCTGCCATAACCTTTCCACCTCTCTTACAATTGCAGGTTTTCAATCTGTAGTCCTGTAGGAGGCCTGAGCTAGAGTAAGGGAAAAGCCTCAACTTTAAATCAGTTTCAGAGTGTTGGTTATTCAGTTGAGACTGTGTAACCTCAGCTAGATTAGAAAAGTTAATAGGACTTGCTGTAGGAGCAGGAGAACACTAGTCTTTACAGAGTGGATTTTAAAAGACAATAGGAGAAAAAAAATAATGTTGCTTTATGACTATATCCTAGGAGTTGGTGTATTCAATAGTGGTAACATTCAAGTGTGAAAATACAGCTGACCCTAGGGCACCTGGGTGGCTCAGATGGTTAAGTGTCTGCCTTTGGCTTAGGTCGTGATCCCAGGGTCCTGGGATAGAGTCCCGCATCGGGCTCCCTGCTCAGCGCGGAGCCTACTTCTCCCTCTCACTCTGCCTGCTTGTGCTGTCTCTCTCTCTGTCAAATAAATAAAATCTTAAAAAGAAAATACAGCTGACCCTTTAACAACACAGGTTTGAACTGCATGGGTCCACTTAAAATCCAGTACTATAAATGTATTTGCTTTTCCTTATGATTTTCTTAATAATACTTTTTTTCCTTAGCTTACATTACTGTAAGAATACAGTATGTATGACATGTAAAATACAAAATGTGTACTAATGTTGGTAAGAATTCCAGTCAACAATAGGCTGTTAGCAGTGAAGTTTTTGGGGAGCCAAAAGTTATGCAAGCATTTTCAACTGTGCAGGGTGTTGGCACCTCTAATCCTTGCACTGTTTAGATGTCAACTGTATTTGCTAGGTTAGAAAGCTTGTCAACTATTATTTTTTACTCTGTGATGGATGCAATATAGTATAAATTTGAAACATTTCCGTAAATTTTCCTATCAGTGGCTATGAAACTCTTCTTACTAAACTAAGATTCAATTAATTGGAGATAAAATCCATAAACTATTACATACTATGTCTTCTTCCAATTTGGATTTTGAAGTACTTTCTACTCATTTTCTTCCATTTCATTAATGAACTTTTAATGAAAAACTGAGTAATATTGATACGCCATCATTTCTTAAGAGTTGCAAACTTCTTGGAGCTATTTCTAATAGTGGAATCCTGACATCCGGAGATTACTTTGTGATTTTGATTTATTCGGAATTACTAATTGAGTAGGCACATCAACTTAAAACAACTTCCAGTTCTTTTGTTGCTGCAGGAAAGATTTCCACTCCTTTTTTCACCTAAATAGGAGAAGTGGTCTTCTCTTAAAGAGAATCATAGCCTATGAGTCATATTCTTCTATGAAAGAAGGTAAATGAAGCCTGTAACCCCAGAGTTGAGCACTGAATGTGCTGGCATAGACTTAGGGGAATTTTCGGAGTGTAGAGGAAGTTTACGTCATGCTGAACAAGGCAATTTCAATATCACAGCTATGAGTACAGTGAAAGAAGTAAGATATGCCAGAATGAAAATTCTTAATCATTCCTAGTATTAAAGTGTTTCCTCCAAGTACTTTCTTTTAGAGTTTTTGCTAATTTTTTAATCAAAGAAATACACTTATTTTTAAAAGCCAAGACCTACCACAATTTTATGATGAGAATTGGCTCTCTCCTGCACCACTCCTCACCACACTCCTGTATCAACTCCCCAGAGGCCTTTTTCCCTTCTAGTCACAATATCTTCCCTGCTATTTTCTCTTTTGTCCTACTCTGGAAATCCTGTCAATTGGATAATGTTCCTCCTACATTGACCCCCTAACTTCCTTACTGTTCTGTTTTCCTTCCTCCCTCCCTCCCTCTCTCTCTCGTTTTACTTTCTGGGTTTCCCAACTTTATCTTCCAACCCTTTTATTGTACCTTTTTTGTTTTATATTTTAATATCGAGGAACTTGTTTTCATTGAGTGCTTCTTTTTACTATGACAGTGTTTTTATTTCTTAGATATATCATTTATCTCTTTGAAGCTTTCTTTTGTTCCTTGAATTATCCATTTCCCCTGAAATCTTTTTTCTGTTTGTTTTGGTCTTTTTCTGTCATGGGATAGTAGTGTTTCTCAAACCTGGATTTGAAATACCTCGTTATATTGAACAAGGATTTATAAATACTGATGCCTAGGCCTCATCTGAGGCTGATTAAACCATAAGTTTTACTTAAATATCTGGGAGTCCTTGGCTGATCATTTGTATTAAAGTAAGTTAAATTGTTGATTGGAATCTCTTTAGGGTTTACCAACTGGTATGTTTCACAGTTGATGTTCATGTGGGATTGGCTGGTTTTGAGTATTTGTATGTCTTTTCACTTGGACTTGGTCATTTTCCCCAAAGAGGAATCTTTCTGTCCCCTGTAGGGGAGGCTGTTGTCAGTGACTAGAATGGGTGACAACAAACATGGCCACAGTGCTTGGATACCTAGAGAGCTCTTATCTCTCAGGGTGCAGACTTTTGGGTTAATCCCCTCTTTTCATTTGGGCATCTCACCTCTGCTCTGGTGTCCAGGAGCCTGTTTTAGTCTCTCCAGAGAACAAACTTTGGTCTTCCTTCTAGGGTGTGGGAAAGAGTAGTGGTTTGGCTAAGTTAGTTGCCTCATATCTCTTCATCCTTTGTCCTTTAAAATGTTGTCATAACTCACTTGGTGGCCTCTCCTCTGGGTTTTGTTGTTTGTTTATTTGTAGTATTTTGGGTTTTCCTCCTTTTATGCCTTTATGAATATTTTTCACATTATTTAGATATCAGTTCATTAAAGGCTAAAATTAATACTTTGTGGGAGAAGATACCACATGTTACAACATGGTAGATTGTTAATAAATGTTCAGCTTTGTGTAAAAATGGATGCCATTTTTGTAGTCTTTTAATAGTAATATAGACTGAACATAAAACTAAAATCTCAAAGTATTGTTTTGCTTTTCATTGGCAAGAAGGAAGAGAATTTGACTAAATGATTCTCAAGTTAATCTGATAACATGTTAAAGAATTCAAGAAATTCTAAAGGGATTTATGGAGGCTTGTTTAGTCAGTGAAATGGGACAGTGTAGTACTGTCATCAGAGTAGATCATTGAAAAAGGACAGCACGGGGGTGTCTGGGTGGCTCATTTGGTTGAGCATCTGACTTTGGCTCAGGTCATGATCTCAGGGTGACATGGCTCCCTTCTCGGCAGGGAGTCTGCTTGTCCCTCTCCCTCTCCTGCAACCCCTCTCCCTGCTGGTGCTCTCTCTGTCTCTCAAATATATAAACAAAATCTTAAAAAAAAAAAAGGAATAGCAAGTTCTGACGTAGACACAAATATACAAAAAATGTAAAAGTATACTAGACTGGCATTTCAAAGTAATGAAAAAGGAAATGGATGATTCTAATCGCTAGTTTTGAGACAGCTGACTAAACATCTGGAAAAACAAACTTAGATCATTACTTATTACCTTATTCTAAAATAAATTCCAAGTGTGTTAATTTTTTTTAAAGATTTTATTTAGAGAGAAAGAGAGCGTGAATGAGGGGAGGGGCAGAGGGAAGAGGGAAAGAGAGAATCTTAAGCAGACTCCATGCTGAGCACAGAGCCTGATGCCAGGCTCGATCCCATGACCGCAAGATCATGCATGACCTGAGCCAAAATCAAGAATCGGATGCTTAACCAACTGAGCCACCCAGGCGCCCCTCAAATGTATTAATTTCTAAATTAAAGAATACTAAAAGAAAATGTAGGTGATTACTTGTATAATCTTGAGTAGGGCGACCCATGTGATTGAACCATGACACCAAAGGTAGAAATCATCAAAGAAAAGATTGATAGGTTTGACCATTTATAGTAAAATATCCTGTACTATAACAGAAAAAAATTATTAAAATATTCAAATGACACACTGGGAAAATACAGTCGTAAGACAAAGGAAATTAATATTTTGATCAAAGAATTCCTGAAGGCTACATTCTCCAGTAGAAATGGTCAAAGAATGTGAACAAGCATTTCACCAAATAATTACAAATTATTTTTGTATACTTATTTGTAATTGGTAATCAACAAATGCAACTTTTAAAAAGCTTAGGAAATATTCCTTGCCCTACCCTTCCTTAAATTATTTTTAAAGCTGGCAAGTCAGTGGGAAAATGGGCACCATGTACACTGGGTGTTTTGTTTCTATAGGGCAATCTGATAGTATGTGTCAAAAGCCTGAAATATTTCTTTGACCAGTAATTCCACTTTTAGGAATTTAGTCTAAGAAGATATTGGGAAATGTGCTCCAAGTAGTTTATACAAGGATGTCATACACGTATAGGCTTATTCATAACAAAACATTTTATAATTATGAACTGTTTGAAAACAGCCATATGTTAGTACTGTGTCATATGCATTCAGTGTCATATCCCATACAACTAAAGACAACCATGTATATGTACTTCCTGGTGTAGAGAGAGACACATGCATTATATGTATTAACTGAAAAAAACTGATTGTGAAATAGTATGTACACTATAATCTCCTAGAAAACATTTGTGTATATTCACATGCACAGAATAAATCTGAAAAGGGTAATGGTGTGAATACCTAATTTTTAAAAAAGATTTATTTAGTTGTTTGAGAGAGAGAGCAAGCAAACTTACATGAGTGGGAAGGGCAGAGGGAGAGGGAGAGCCAGTTTCAAGCCAACTCTGCACTGAGCACGGAGCCAGATTCCGGGGGCTCGATCTCACAACCCTGAGATCATCACCTGATCTGAAACCGAGAGTCAGACATTCAACCATCTGTGCCATCCGAGTGCCCCTGAATACCTAATTTTTATTGAGCACTTAACTAGGTTTTAGATACAATGCTCTCTATGCAGTGCTTTGTCTAATGGACCAAAGGTATTAACAGGCTATCTTGGTGTGATAGGATTATAAGAGATAGAACTTTTACCCCCTTTTTATTTCTCTGTATTTTCTAACTTTTCTATAATGATCATACATAATCCTCTGGGAAGAATTTGTTGCTTAAATTTTTTAGTGTTAACTTTCACTATTGAGTCATTTGGAAAGAAGGCGTGCATGGTCCTGTAAAAGTAATTAAAGCTTGAAAATCTCAGAATGAATTTTGTTGCAGCATGATCTTAGAGAAGTAACTATCTCTGGAATTTTATGCTATCACCTATAGACCAGAACAGTTAAATATTGAGGACCTTTGTAAAAAGAGCTATATATAAACAGTAGTAATTGAATAACTATAATATTGAATTAGACATTAAAAAAACCTTTTTCTGTATTATATATGCCATCCAAAATGTGATGAAGACCAGTGGATATTTGTGCTGCTTTTTTCAGATCAGTACCTAGGAAATTGGTGCTCAAAATTGACAGAACATGTGAATATGTAATTATGGTCAGATGAGGTAAAAATTTTGATTTAAATTATTCTCTAAGTGATCTTAATTAGACTTCTTCAAAAGCTGTGTCATCTTTATTGGCAGTGTCTTTTGTTTTTATTTTGTGGATACCAAATCTTAAATGCGTTCTCCTCCCCATTTTAGGTCAGTTGGTGGTGTGTACTTTATGTTCCTGTGTCATGAAAACGAAGCAGATTTGGCTCTTTTCAGCTCACATGCTTCCCTTGCTAGCACGACTCTGCCTTGTCCCTCTGGAGACAATTGTTATCATCAACAAATTTGCTATGATTTTTACTGGATTGGAAGTTCTCTACTTTCTTGGGTCTAATCTTTTAGTACCTTATAACCTTGCTAAGTCTGCATACAGAGAATTGGTTCAGGTAAGACTGACAACCACACACAGGTAGATAAAATTCTACATAAAAATTAGTTCTATTAAAGATTTAGTTCATTTCATAGTCGTGGTCATGGTAACATTCTGTTGGACAGTTTCTAAGTAGCACCTATTTTCAACCTAATTAGGAGCATCTGCGATTCTTTATGATGAAGTGTTCTGTAGGGAGGCAGTGAACTGAAGTGATTCTGGGGAAGCAGAGTGTCTGGGTTTCTACTCTGGCTCTGCTGTTGACTATCTGTGTAACCTGGGGATGGTGGGTTGTCACTTAAGTTGGCTTATCCGTAAAATGGAGCTAATAATAACAGTTGTACTTAACTTGTAGGGTTGCTGTGAGATTTAAATGAGTTCAGTGCGGCAGACAGTGTTCAGTGTGTGTTAACTATTATAATGAAGACAAAAATAATACAGAATTGAAAACGTAGAGGTAAAATCTGGATTTTTCTTCTGATTAAAGTCCTGCTGTGACTACAGTTTTTTTCCTTGTATTTGCCAGCTTATGTAAACTGAGAAGTAGTTCTGGGCATTCATATGATGGATTTTGTTTAGATATACTGATTTTGCCCACATGACATGCTTCTGCCTATCCTACTTTTTTTAGCCTTTGCTAAAAAAAGTAAACAGATTATTTCCCAGATAGAAACAATAGATATTTAAATATTTCCATTTGATTTGTTTGATAAGTTCAGTATATAAAATAGATATGAAAACTGACATTGATATAAAAAGAGAGTGCTAAAATGCACATTCTTTTCTACCTTTTGACTGTGTGTATATGACCTTAAGGTACAGGAGGCTCTCAGATTGACTAAACTGAAACTACTAAGTGAAGTGGGTTTTTTTTTGTTGTTGTTGTGGCCCCAGGGGCAGATTTCCCAGAAAAATTTCCCTAAACTCTTGGCTTTAGGTTGCTTCTGCCTTCTTCTTTGTTCATCTTATGTAATGATTAACTTGGGCAATTTTCCTGAAAGTAGGTCTTTCAGAGAAGAGGAAGTTATTTTCATACTCAATGAAGAGCTATTTCATGAGGAAGGGTTATAGTTGTATTCAGAATAAGAATGACTAAAATATGTATTTTTTCTTTGAATTCAGTCTTGTGGAGCTACCCTAGTTTGTGGGAAACAGAACACAATTAGTAAACATTAATTGTATACTGTTTATTTAATCACCGTTAAGGACAGAGCCCTCATTTCTCAATGTCATGTTTACCTTCTTGGTTGCCTTAAGATTCATGCATCACTAGATGTCATAGTTGAAAATAAATTCTAGGTTATGAAATCCACAACCTGGAAAGAATTGGATAGGTAAGAAATGGTGGAAACTATCAGGCTTTTTTGTCATCTGTTCCTTGAATGGAAAGGAGGAAAATTACTCTCTACCTCTCAGTGATCAGTTTGCTGCTAATAAGAATTTTGCAGCTAGTTGGACAACTTGCTTTTTCTTTAAATATTTTCTAGTAGGGGAAAAATAGAAGTTAATCTTGACTGGATTTTAGAGAAAGCATTTGATTTACAGATAAAAAATTTAAATTTAGAATAATCTGTAGGTCACTGCATTTTATTTTAATACTTAAAAGATCTAGGTCTACCTAGAGTTAGGTGTTAATTAGAAATCAGAAAAACTTGAAGTCAGTGTATTTTAATTTAAGATATTTGAATTTTATTGAAACATTCCGGTATCACATTGAGAGTTCCAGCAAGACAATTTGGCTATTTAGGTTAGAGTTTGTAGCCTGCCTTGCAGAACCCTATTGTGTTACCAGGGTCTGGTCCCTGGCATAGTAACTCCAGAAACTTGGTTACATGTATGCTCTTAGGCTGAATCAGATTATGAGAATTGATTCCTCCTAATGAGTCTCATAAGCGATTGTTTTACAAACTGGAAAGCTAAGTTACTGATTAGTAGATTAATAAACTTTTTTTAGTTGTACCTTTTTTCCTGGTGTTAATGCACTAGGCAAATCAAATAAATTGAGAAATGTTGTTTGATAAATAACACAGGAGGAGCAAGGGGAATTGATCTGTCTGGGGGAAAAGACTTGCTAACTATCTTTGCTCTCCAATAGACGTAAACTCCAATGTTTATTCTGTCTTCCGTCACACTGTTTCTCCCCTATGACATTTCCTGAATAAAACCGGAAAAATTCTTCCTTTTACATTTCCCCTTTTTCTAGCCATTCACGCACTATTTGCATCATTTATGGTAGTCCTGATCATTTTGATTCAGAGATGAGTAAGTTTACAAAGTCTACTCAACCTACCTTTGATGTAGTTTTACTCTGAAAGAGACTTTACTCTGAACTGTAAGGGCAGTTTATGGTTGTCATTTGATGAATGTGTGTCAAGTGTTAATAGTAATAATGCAAAATCAGAGAATTTTAGAAAACGTACTAACTGTATATACAGAGCTAACTTTAAAGGAATTTAGTTGGAACAATCTTACAGTGAAAGAAAAGCAATTTAATTTTTCTCTTTAAGTACTTTGAACTCTTTGGTGTTTAAAAGTGTTTATTGAAGTGATACAAGATGTTTTCCTGTCTCATTTTCTTATTCAGGTAGTAGAGGTATATGGCCTTCTAGCCTTGGGAATGTCCCTGTGGAATCAACTCGTAGTCCCCGTACTTTTCATGGTTTTCTGGCTCGTCTTATTTGCTCTTCAGATTTACTCCTATTTCAGTACTCGAGATCAGCCTGCATCACGTGAGAGGCTTCTTTTCCTTTTCCTGACAAGGTAATTAATAAGAACGTATGATACTGTACATAACCTTAGGAAGAGAAGACTTTGATCTAGGAATAGCAAGTTTTGCAAATTTCCAGTTACATTAGAGTGTACCCCATATTTAATTAAGGTAGGATTTTCATTTGGTGGATGCCTAGGTCTGGCAGTGCAAGGAGGTGCTAAGGTAATAATGGTATATTTGGCTGTAGCAAATGATTTGTGGAAAGGTACATAGCAAATTTTAAAAATATTTTTTTAATTTCAAGTTAAACTATTGGTTGGGTAAATAAAACATGTTACTAAAAATAATTATCAATTACTGAGTATTTAATATGTGCCACCACATTCCTGAACACTTTTCTTCACACTTAATCTTGACAGCAACCCCGAGAGATAGGTGCCTTTATTATCATTTACCATTTTTTAATAGCTGAGAAGACTGTACCGAGAGTACCTTGCCCCAGGTGACACCGTTGAAAGAAGCCGTGCTGATGTCAGAGCCCATCTGAGTTCAAACCTTACTCTTGCAACTAATGCCCTGTTATTTTTAATGTTTTGCTTCATTATTCAGATACAGTCAAATAATTGGAGAAGTGAGTATATCATAATGCTTTGCTGTTTGCCCCAAAGGAATTCTAAGACTTGGTTTTTAAGATTTAGTTTTTTTTTTTTAAATAGTCTTAAGTCATCTGAGTCCTTTTTCTACTAAAGTATCTTTGTTGTGAGCTACATCCACATTTGTCATTTTCCACTCTTGAGTTTGAATCTCAAGCCCTCAGAACCTAGCACATGGCTATATATCTTCATTCCCTGGCACATACAGGCAAGAGTAAAACTCTGTCCTTCGGGAGAGTACATATAGGCAGACAAAAGTGTTGAGTTTTAGTTAATAGAGCCATTGTTTCTCAGCCAACCAAGTGATGGAGCACTGTGCAGTAAGGGGTGCAGGGAAAATGTTACACAGTGTTAAAAAGCAATAAAAATGTCATAGAGCAGTACCTATTTCAGTAAATAAGCAGAATAAACTTATTGGCACTGAGTCAGATTTTGTACTTTCTAAAAATAACACTTTTAGTTGGTAAGTAGCTTCTATAAGCATGCAATAAATTGATATGAAATACATTTTAATAGCCAGTTCATTATTAATGAAGTTTTACTGCTATTGTTTATTTTTTATTTTTCTTTTAAGATTTTATTTATTTATTTGACAGAGGGAGAAACAGTGAGAGAGGGAACACAAGCAGGGGGAGTGGGAGAGGGAGAAGCAGGCTTCCTGCAGAGCAGTACCCTGGGATCATGACCTGAGCTGAAGGCAGACGCTTAATGACTGAACCACCCAGGCGCCCCTGCTATTGTTTTTTAATGTAAATATTATGGAAGTTTTATGAAGAATTTTAAAATGATCCAAAAAGTAATTCAATTTAAAGAGAAAGAGAAATAGAATACTTTGGTTAGGATAATAACCTAAGTGTGAGACTGGGATTGGTCATGTTTTAAACCATATTATTAGCCATTAAAAAGCACAATCAGATCAAATGTAGCATAGTGTAATAGGCTTAACAAATCAGTAAGCCATGAATGAGTTTGGACTTATTTACAAGGTAAGAAAGTAATACTGAAATTTTTAGATGAGGCTTAGGTGTCTTGACAAAATGATTTTTCTCTCTATTCTGTTTTATACATAGAATAGAGTACCCCTTCTAAATATAGGAATGTTTAAATTTGTTTTTTAACAGAGAAGTTAATTGGTTCTTCTGTTAATTTCTATCTCTGTAAGCATGCTGCTTTGTGCCAGATTACATTGGTGTGTTTGCCTTGCCAAAGAACAACTTATTTACAAAAGGAAGATTGCAAGTTTATCAGCATACTCTGACTAAACAAACCAACTAAAAAACCACATGCAAACAAAAACTTTGTTTTTGCAGCCAGCAAATAGAAACTAAAACCAGTAAAACATCTCACTGAAGAGAGAGAGGAAGAAAAGTTTTATAAAGTTTTCCAAATTCTTTCACTTCCCCAAAGTTAGGTTGAAACCTTTTGCTTTCTTATGTTCTCTTTTGAAAATACCCTTTTGAAAATGTAATTAAATCATACTGCTTGGGTGTAAAAGATTTCTCTAAATATTAAGACAAGAATAGAGAAATTGCATGGATCATCAGTAAAATTTTCAGGCTTTTCCAGTGAGAAGTAAAATTTTTAGTATATTTTTAGCCATGGTTATTACTTTTTAGTTACTAGACAATTTGTTTAAACATCCTGCATAAGGATTTCTCTGAGAAAATGTCACATTTCAGAAATTAGATTTGTAAGAATGCCATACAGTCATTCTTTTAGCTATCAACCACCATGACTCATAGATATCTTGACTCCTAAAAGAAAAACAGATATTTTTTTCTCATCATAATGTACATTGGTCTATGGAAAAGTAGATGTTTTCACTTAAAAACTTACTTATGAGCAGTTAATTGTGTAGGAAGAGTGACTATGTAGCAGAAGCACAGCGCTACATAGTAAAGGATAGGTATTGATTTGCCTGAATGAATTCCTCATGCATACAAATGAAATTCTTAACTGGAATTCTCAAACTTCTCTGAACATTTGTTAAATGCTGTATAAATGTTAAATCCAGATTATTAGTACATAATATTACATATGTTTGTAAAATACTTGTTAATAAGTTTCTAATATGTTCAGTGTAAGTATGGAATGTATTTCCATAAAGTGTGAAAGTATTTACAAGCTTTAGTTAGTGTAAGGTCTTCCAGTTCCTGTAAGTGGTATTCATAGCGAACTTTTATGTTAAAAGTTGATGATAAAATTATTTTTAAATGGTCTTAGGTTATATTCTTGGATATGCTTTTGAAATAACCCAGAAAAAAATGCAATTATGTAAACCTAAATTAAATTAAAATTTAAAGTATTAATAATATGGAAAATACTGTTGTATTGAGAGGAGTTGGGAGCTGCAAAGTCAATATGGGCCTTCCCTGGTAGCAGTTTGGTCAAATAAGGAGTTTTGACAAGTAATCATATTAGCACAATTTGAATAGTCAACATTTTTCAGAAGGTACTATGGGCAACTATATATGAGTCTTTTTTGAATATTATCAGCATGTTAATTATACGTTTCTTAGGGTTTGAAGAAAATTTAAGCCCTTAACTGCTTTTGAAAGAGGTGATAGATAAATAAAGAGAAGACTTTGTTTCAGATATGGTGCTGTGTACTGAGTATTTGCCAAAGAGATTTAAAAAAATGTAGGTTAGGATACTAGAAGAATGGATTTAAATTATTAATGGAGTGGTTAGGTGATTTTTACGTCAAATTTTGGTTTGGGGTGTTTTAATTGATGAGGATCAGATCAAGGTTGGTGGCTATTTGAAGGCTTAAGATGGTTTTATTTCAAATGGAAAATTTTTATCTGTCAATATTTCCCCACCCCCCTTTTTCTAGTATTGCTGAATGCTGCAGCACTCCTTATTCACTTTTGGGTTTGGTCTTCACGGTTTCCTTTGTTGCCTTGGGTGTTCTGACACTCTGCAAGTTTTACCTGCAGGGTTATCGAGCTTTCATGAATGATCCTGCCATGAATCGGTAAGTTCTTGACTATGGATGCCTCTAGACATTTAAATATTATATATAACTTGAAGAGGTAATGATGAATTTCAGAGGAAATGGAATTTTGAGATTTTTTTTTGAATGGTTGCAACTATTTGGATTTAAAATACTATGAAAATATAACTGAATTTCCATATGTAAAAGATGAATTTTTACTGTATGTACATATGAATGTATATTGGACACTTTCCTAGATTTAAGAGATTTTTTTCATGGGGGAGGGGCAGAGGGAGAGAATCACAGGCAGGCTCCACACCCAGTGCAGAGCCTGACATGGGGCTCAGTCTCACAACCCTGAGATCATGAGTCATGAGCTGAAATCAGGAGTTGGACACTTAACCAACTGAGCCACCCAGGCGCCCTAAGAGATTTTTGATAGCTTGCTTTTTCCCATTTGAAGTTTAAGTGTAGACCTGTTAAAATCCAATTTCTATATTTGATACTTAAAAATTTTTTTTGTGTGTGGACATAATTTGGATACTGACTGAAGTTTCAAAGGATGCATTAATGAGAATGCAGAATAGTTAATCTAGTTATTAAATCACTAAGATCAGATATTGGGAAACCCTATTTCTAGAAGTTGTCACGATTTCTGTTAAAATAGGAATTTTTAATGGTTTCATTTATATAAATTTATATAATCTTAAAGTCTTTAAATCTTTATGGAATGTTTCAGAATTAGTAGATGGTGAGTATCTTGTAAATTGGAGGAAACATTTTTTTTGGGGTGTACAATATTTTTTTATGACAGAAGAGAAAAAAGTGCTTTATAATCTTCCTGCTAGTCCCAGCTAACACCTTTATAATGACAAAAGAGGGAGGAGGGCAAGAAAGAAAAATAATTCATATATAAGCTTACAAATTCACACCATTCAGAAAATATGAAATGGGAAGTGACACCTCTTCCTCCCCCTGCTTGCCATTTCCTCTCCCTGAAGGGTAACAGCTTATAATGGTTATTTTAAAATTTCTTTCTACACACACTTATATATTTGCTACTTTTGTTTTTGTTTCATTTCCACATACTATACACAGTTCTGCACTTTAGTTTTTCACTTAAATATGTTTTAGATGTTTTTTTATGTCAACACAAAGACATCCTCATTCTTTTTGATAAAGGTATAGTATTCCAAAGTATGGATGTATTTCTTTTTTTGTTTTTTTGCTATTAAAAAATGGTACCTTTGTATATGTCTCCTTTTTTTTAACTCTTAATTAGAAAACTTTTAAATTAGGGGCGCCTGGGTGGCTCAGTCATTAAGCATCTGCCTTCAGCTCAGGTCATGA